GGGCTTGGTGAAAGTAACACAGCAGACCAGTAAACGTTTGCAAACACCAAATTTTCCAGTATACTGTCTGCCCTCGTTCACAGGGTGTTACCTATTCAGCATCAGGTTACAAGAGAATGGAAGAAAAAACAGACTAAAAAAATAGATAATGACTATTAAATAAAAACAAAACTGGCAGTCACAGGTTGAACTGCTCAACAAAACATTCCCCAGGTCAAGGTAACTGTTTATCAGTGACAACTTTGCAGCCATTACTGCACATCCTAAATTACTCCATCTTCTTGATGTGCCACAATATGTACAAGACACAAAACTAAGCTGTCAGAATTCAAACATGTCCAAGATTACAGCTTTACAGCTGGAAGTGCTATCATATTCTGAGCTAATACTAGCCTAAAAAACCAAATGGGCAGATTTCAAATCTCAGTGTGAAGGGAATCGCTATAGTTGTGCACAACATGTATGTAAGTGAACTTAAAACATTTTATTATTACCTGATCATAAACTGACAACAGCACACTGAGCTCCTCCACCTCCAAAAGTGATGCTTTAGAGTTACTATTATGCTATGTCTTTTAAACTGAAAAATTAAAATAAACCATAATCAGAGGTCTTTGAAGAATAATGGCATTGGTACATATAAATACAAATGCAAAGAATGAAATGTTGCCATTTAAAGCACAAATCAAAAGCATAATATCATAAATTGACTCAGAATATACAAATTGCTCTCACTAAACTATGTCTGTACATTCAAATATAACAATATAAAATGCCCAGCACCATGTTAACTTACACTATTTCCTCCTTTGTCTGGTTTCTAATTAAGACTTGCTGGTGGAAATGAAAAAATGCATCAAATCCGTCACAATCATATAGACAAAACAGAACTATAGCAAGTGCAAAGGATATTTATCATATTAATGATATGTATCAGCTTTTGTCCAGATATCTGATCAGAATAGAAAGCAAAAGGAACTAGCAAGACTGCTGTTGTTCTTAACACCAGAGATGGAGCTCTCTCCAAGAGGGGCCAACTGCCCTGGAAAAATAAAGAGAACAAATTGAATGTTATGAACTGCAGAAAATCCTACAATGTAGAAGGGGTAAAAAATAACCACAGCCTTCTAAAATTGTAGTGATTGCATGTTATTTCAGGATTATCTCTAGCTCTTCATGTTATTCTGCATGGCACAATTTACCATGTAAAAGTCAGTATTTTCATTAATGATCAATTTTGTTCATTTGCCATGGTAGACAGTAAAGCAAAACAGAACACACACACACTAAAATAGTAACCATTACCTTTAAACCAATGGGTTTCAAATTCTCATTGCTCAAAATCACGTGAAGGGAATGCTCTCTGTCTTTTCCAAATGTTATACCAACTGGGAGACTGTCAATGGTAATTCCCACTTAAAGAAGAAAGTTTGTTGGTGTTTTTTTATTGTTTTTGTGTTTGTTGTTGTTTTTTTTGTTCATTTTTGTTTAAAAAACCCCACAAACAAAAAGAACTATAACCAAATGGAAATATATTGCATTACATATAAAATCAATTATACAATTCAGCAACATGAATTCATGTGAATCTAAATCATATTAACTCTGACTGCAATTAAGTTCAAGCACCTTATGCAAAGAACTAGGCATTTCTTGACATGGAAACACCTGTAGCTGCTGAGCCAGATGCTGGACCTGTAGAAGCTCAGGCAGTTCTGCAGCCACTTTAACCCAAACGGAAAGTTCCTGGAGGACACAGTCAAAGAGTCATCACCCGCAGCTGGCCTTCAACCTCCTGCACCTACGTCCTGTGTTTCCCATGAGAAGGTGTTTCACTCGCATGTTGATCCCGTCTATTCCTTGTTCTATTGAAGCCATTATCAAGATCAATACTTCAGTTAGTTAACTACTGTTATTAATTACACACAGCATGATTAATCTTAATAGGTATACTGTAATTTATCAAGTAAAAAAAAAAAGTACATTCTCCTCTTCATGTACTCACTTCAATAACTAGCTGTTTTTCTCAAAGACAGTTATTAATCCTAAACATGTAACACATTTTTGCAGCAAAGGTTTCTAAACCCTATGTAGAATACGTGTTCAATTACCCCCACCCCTCCCTCTCCCCCCAAGGATTTTCTTCTTAACAGCATCATCTCTCAAAATGCTCAGAAAAAAATCATTTTTTTGTTTGCAGGTTTGTTGTTTTTTTTTCCTGTGCCTTAGCTCGCACTGCCCAAATGAAAGAATGAAAAATATACAGAAATATAAAGGAAGAATAACATAAAAAAATGTGATCTCAGTTTTTCTAACACCAAACTCTTGGCTTTTATTGATGTCAAAACGGCAGACAAACAAACAAAAAAATCACCTTTGCAATGCCATCCCACCCCATACATGTAAAAAAAAGTTGCTGAACTATTTCTCCTTTCAGATAATTAAGAATACTACAACTAAAACACATGCATTGGTACGGATTGATTTTGCTGCCTGAACACTTAAATTATATTAATTTAATTTTTATAACAACTGTAGCAATAATTTAAAGTTCTCCAGACTTAGAAATACACTAGTCTGACAAACTGTAACAAAAGCTCTCCTAATAAGGAGAGGAAGTATTCTTTACTCAGCTTTATAATGCCTATTTCTACTATATTTGCACACATATTATATGTTTTATTTATATGAACAAATGATTTGTATGGAACTGGCAAAGACTCCAAGTTTTACATACCTCTCAGGAAACAAAAAGGGCATGAACACAACTTAGTATGCTTTTACACATAGCTGGTGGTCACAAAGAAGTGAAATACTCATAATTACACTTCTCCTTCAAAATCTGCAGGAATCCTAAATAATTTAGAAAAGTACATGCATTTCAACATGCAAACTGAATGCAGTAAAGTATTCAAGTGTTACAGGATAATTATAAATCATGAAACATCAACCAAGCAGTTTCCCTTCAAAACTAATACTGCAAATAACTACTGAAATTATAGAAAGATAAGTTTTATATTTAATTAAAATTAACAAGAGCATAAATGTTATTATGTAATATTATGTAACACCATAGCAGCTACAACATAATACAAAATTACATAAAACATACAGGTAGTGATAAACTTTACTGTCACACGGCAGTGTAACAACTAAGGCACTTCTTTCATGCTGAACCAATACATTTCAGAAAAAATTATATGAAGTTGGGTTCTCCATATACAGGTCTTCTCCAGGATCCTCATATGGATTTACACACATGTAACTGCTGTGGCATACTAAAGTACAATTACATTATTGTCCACACCTTATATCTGTTGCTTTACTACACTTTATTTTTTTTTCCAACTCAGATCAACTTAGGAGACACTGGATTCCAATTTCAAATCTGCAGATACAGCTGAAGCTTACTCTTTTCCCTGCAGAAACCTTGCAAGTGGCTCATTCAAGCCTAACTAGTCCTATGTAAATTGAATCAAGGACCTTTGAAATAAACAGGAAGATATCACTTCGAAGTTTTCTGTAGCTGAAAGCAGTGATAGTTCCTGTTTGTCCCAGATCAACTCTGTTATAATTGCCAGCAGGAAGTCACCTGGCTTCATTAAGAAAGGGAACCTGGAAAGCTGAGTGTACAACTTCTTTGTAAACGGGAAGGAACCTATAAACTTGTTAGTTTGTTGTCATGGAACATTACAGGCTCACAAAAGAAAAGAGGTTGAAAACAAAAAGTCTCATAACAAAACACAGCAAAAACTAAGACCTTCTGATATAGACCCTATAAATATAATTACCTCTATTAAGTGGCATGTCTTCTTCAGCTTGTAAGAAAAACAAAAAGTGTCTTCTGCTTATTTCTGGAGAAAAGGAATGACTTTGGCAAAGATTACTATTGGGATCCAGTGCTGGGTCTCGAAATTGAACATGTAGAGATTTATATGCAGAAGAATGGAATCCAAACTATCAGTAGAGAAGGAAGGAATTGGTAATCACTATACTAACATCTTCTATTGCTAGTGATTTCCACTGCTAGCAATACTGCTACTGCTATTTCTTTTTTTGCTCGAGTAGAAAAACAACCATGTGATAAACAGATTTGAGTAGTCTACCATGAGAAAAAAGATAAAGAATTATGGTGTTCACTTCAGCATAATTCTGCCTACTGCAGTTGATAAGGAAGCTGAATTCTTTTCTCATGAAAACTTGAAGTAAGATGTCCCAATTCAAGTTCATTTTACAAAACCTTGACAGATCCAGAATGCATATGAACAGTTTACTTATGACAGAACCTTAATATTAACTACTGGTAACTCAGGAATTTCACATGCAATCACACTCAGAAGTTACAGTTTTACTGTCCTTGTAGATAAAAATTTCTTGGTAATCTAGCTGTAGTACAAGAGGGCCTGTGGGAACTCTTCAAGAGTTTTACTGCAGCAAACAGCTCAATCTGATAACATGAAGAATTTGATTGTTACTTTGTTGTAAAGCAGTATTTTTCCCAGTGTTCACTAACAGAATTAAGAGAAGAAAAGTAGTTAAATGGGACGTAGAAATCCGGGGCATCTGATTCAGCAGGAAGGAACAATGGGAACCAGCTGTTCACCAAGAAACCAAATACATGTTAACTAGGTTACTGTAGCTGCTCAAGCCACTCTATTCAGATGTCTTTCCAGTTCCCTTACCAGTCACAATGATGAGTATGAATACAGTATTTAAAATAAATTGCTCCAAGTTTTCACTTCAATCTTGCCTCATGTAACCAGAATAAATCCTTCTTAATGCTCATACAAAAATACTTATTGGGACAGATTTCCATTGTTTCTGTACCTGTACATTTGGCATCTCAAGAACCAACTCAAGTTAACAAGCTTCATGTATTAACGAGAAAGCTGGAAATAAAGGAAGACACAATCATGTTACAATAAAGTGAAGAAGTAATATCTGGATAAAATATGTCTGCATGGAATCAGCTGTCAATCAGAATGACAAATTCTGCATGGTTTCAAATTGAAGAATTTTAATGGACTCTTGAAACTTAGATACAGAAATACAGTTGCAGACAGGGTTTAGTTCCAAATGTCCACTATTTCCAGGTAACAGTACTAATATCTAGGTTTGTAAGGCTGTAATTGGGAAAGTGAAGTTTGCTTACAGCTTTTTTTTTAGTTTCATTTTTATGAGGATAAAATTTTCCCAAAGTTCTTTAATCTTCATCTTTTTATTTTCAAGCTATGTTTTACTTTAGGTAAATGTCTTTCTTTGGTTTTCTCCTAGTAGTATAGTAAAAAAAAAAAAGTAGGAAAAATAATTTGTGAACACATAACCATTGTTTCTCTTGACTATGCTTACAAATCAGGTGATAAGTCTGGAGTTTGTACACACGCAAATGGAGCACTTCAGAGCATGAGATCCTTTCCTCTCACATATGCCACAATTAGCTGTCGGTTTCACCATGGACATTTTCCATGTGCACTTTGAGGTAGTCATTTCTAGTAAATTTCTTGTGGCAAAGCTGGCATTCTGCCATTGGTCGATTGGGGTTGTGAGTCAGCTTGTGTCGGATCAGCATCTTCTTCAGGCTGAAGGACAAATCACAAACCTAAGGCAGTGAAGACAAGACAAAGAAAAAAGAAGCCTTAAAATTTCAAGCATGTATAGAACCCTTTATGTGCTATCACTGAGGCCACAGCCAGATGTAACTGCAATAGTTAATAAATGAGCTGGTCTTTGGAAGAATAACTGCTTCAGAAAGCACCTTACTCTGTCTGGTATATTTCAATGTCATACAGTAACCGTGGTACCACAGGCATGGGGGCTGGTAAAGGAAAAAGATCTAATCTTCAAAATATCAACACACTGGGGTGTCCCAGTTATATTTTATTGTGTGTGGGTTTGGTTCACGGTTGTGGGTTTTTCTAAATATTATTATATCTGGGATGCAGTAATTCAACCTCATATGAAGTATTTCCTTCCTGACTTCCAGAATGACATCTGTGTGTTCCTAAAAAATCAGTTCAACTTGCTCAGCTACAAGGAGGGAGGAGTGAGAAAAAAAGCAGCTCTGAAGACTGCAAGAAAGGTTAATAATTATTATAGAGGACACTGCCATACTAAAAACATCACTTTAAAAAAAATTCTTGTGCTGAAGTCAAAATGAAAGGTTAAGAACAAGTCCAGCCACGAAAAGTTAGAATGAACAGTTAAGGATCTGTAGGGAAGACTAAATCAACTGAAAGCATGCAGTTACATTGTCACATTCACGTTCCATCCAGGTACACACAGTATGCATGTATTTTCTAGGGGATGGGGAGGAGAAAGGAAGCATGCTCACAATTCCTGATTTGGCAAATGAAATAGGAAAGAATCACATAATTAAATAAGAATGAACACCCATTGGCCTGCAATCCTCAAATTCCAGGTGCATTCCAGGCAAAATGTCTTCCACAGAGAAGAAACCCAGCACAATCTCTCCTTATGAAAATAAAGTTTTAAATTCATATTGGTACCAACCTAGTAATGAAAATGCTGAATTATTACTGATTCCTTTTGAAATAGTGCTGACTAACCAAGTAGATAATGTTGGCCTACAGTATATGTATTTTATGCCAATTAAGGCAAAAGAAACCAATAACCATAAAAAAGAGGCAAATTTTGTATCCAAAATAATTTTTCCCCAAACAAGAACACTGCATGTCCGGTTGCAATCAAATAGTTTTGGATTTATCACACAATCAAGTACTTTTATATAGCAAATGTAACTCTCCAGCCTCTTTCAGACCCAAGCAACAGTCACCCTTTTGTTATGTGACAAGGAATATCACCTACAGCATCCACTGGTGAGGTCTTAATACTGCTTTTGCCAAATATCATTTTCTGTTCCTCCTCCACACAGCATAAAAAGTGAACTCATAATGTTTACCTAATTGTAACAACATGCTTGCTCACGAGACTCAACGTGTTATAAGTATCATATACTTGTAAACACCAACATGTTTCTTGGAAGCCAGGAAGCCAATCAAGGATATACACGCATACAAGGTACATACGTGATCTCTGCATCTTACACGCCTCTCTTAATTTTTAAAGTAAACAGCTTCTAACAGAGTCCTAAACTACGTTTTTTTCATTTATAATGCTCATGCAACTAGTATAATGTGTCCTGATGTTCCTTCAGGGCTCTAGCATGTTCTACTACCTAACTTCTTCAAAAAGAACACAGAAAGCACAGGATCATATGATATAATACACCTTGTGCTGTGCTTATGCACAAAAGTTTTGGTTTGTGGGTTTTTTTTAAGAGTCTGCTTCAGATTTCAAGTTTATAAGTAAGACTGACATTTTAGAGATTTACAACCATACCTGCTAATGTGCACCTGAAATCTAATCAATCTCTTCAAAATGATCAAAGTTTTGATCAAGTAGGGAGGATCGAAGAGACTGACATTTGAAAGTAAGTGTAGGGCCAACTAAAGGCAGAGTGGAGGGAAACACTGTACCGGAAAGAAACCAGGACAGGCAGTACCCTGACCTTTCTGCCCTCAAAGAATAATCTGTGGTCTCTGAGGCAACTGAAGTTCAGTTGGCCTTCCAGTAAAAAACAGGCTGGTCTTCAGAGGACAGAAATCTAATTTATTAGGGGGAAAAAAAATATTTCTATTTCCATACTTCAGTTATTTTCACTTTCCTTTATGATAAATATTAGAGTTTTCACCTTAAAATAGGAATATTCAATTTGTACTATCATCAGTGGATATGTGAGCTTTGAGTCCTTGAGTTCTGAAATGCTTTTGATGACAGAAATAAACACATAAATAAACTGTAGCGCCTTCACCAAACAGTTGTTTTTTTTTTTTCAATAGCCAAACATTTCCTTTTTCAGTTCTTTGGCATGAAAGCAATTTTTGTTTGTAAATGCAAATGTACTAAGAAACAAAGAAAATTCTGACAGAAAATGTTCTTTAATATGTTATCAACATGTAATTTGTTGTCTATATATACTTAGAGAGCTGAATAGCTTCTATGACTGCTTCTAATGCCAGGCAGCAAACAACTCTCTTACAACTTCTGTCTTTCAGGATGGCTTCATGTATGATTACAGTTATGGATATGCTAATAAATAAAAACACAGCCTGTTTTTCACCTTTAAAGGATTCTTAGTAGGTCTGGGCATTGTCTTACGGACTTGCCAATTACCTTAATGAGTAAGGCTATGCCAGTAATATTGCTACTTCCTTAAAACATCCAATGGGAACAGGTAAAAAAAAAAAAATCCAGAAAATAGTAACAAAAATTATTATGAACACGGGAAAACGTCATGGAAAGCGCTGGAAAGAGAAAAAACTTCACAGGAGTTGACTAAGAAGGTACATGGCACATGTACAGAGAACAATGAATGGAATAGCTATTAACCGCCTCTGTTAAGGAAAGAACTAAAAGGTACTGAAATTCCATTATAGTAACCTGACATACACTCTCCTCCCCAAAATCCACAGTTAAGAATTTGCGGAAGTTGTGCAATAAATTACCACTCAAGTCATAAGAAAAATAATGAGCACACCTACAGCTATCTGTAGCAGGACAAAAAATTGTAGGTGAGAATATCTGAGTGTAAAAAGTATTGGAAAGCTAACAATTAATGTCCCCCATAGGTACATTTTTCTGTAACTGCCCACTACTGGTTTTCCTGTAACTTCTGCTGAAACATCTGGTAACATGCAATGTGAGAGCTCTGGAGGAATGGTCTGTTCTGCATAACATTTTCTATGACCCCAGCACCTGTGTAACTGGAGTACACATGAAATAAGGGCTAACTATTGAAAACAAAACTTTCAACACTCTCCAAGTGTGTATTAAGCAGCACACCATGATAGTCACCTGGACAACTGAAAAGCACCAGTTCTATATCCTAACCTGATACCCTCCAAATCCTTGAGCAACAACTTACCTTCTGGCTTTTGCTAATTCTCAATATTTTTTTCCAAAAGTCTCTGCACACTCAGCCTCCCCACCTACCTTCCAAAAAGTTGTGAGATATGTTGTATACACAATGGGATATGCTGAACGAAAGGGACTTGACAGTGATCTATGAACTGTAATATAATATGCTGCATTTCAGTAAACATACACAACATCCATGCTTTCTTCAATGCACAATTAAGAAAAAAAAAGAACAGATGTTGAAAATATCAGACCAGATTCCAGTAAATAGAAACTGGAATTTCTGAATTCATATTTGTGTCATCCAACATCAGAAGCATTCAGATTACATGTAATGAATTAAGTACCTTTTCCTGTAAAAGCTAATCCCCAAATATTAATCTGTCATAAAACGTACGGGAACCTAACCTGCATGAATTTGTAACTTGCAACATCCAAATTGCATTAATGGTGAAAATAACTCTTAAGGGATCCAAAACCATAAAATAACAGGGTGTACAAAGCTTCTGGCAAGTGGGGAAGGTACATAAAATTTCCTGAATGGTCTTTTCATTAGTTAGACAATCAAAGACTCTACGAAGTGTAACGTTATACCACAGCCAATAGCTGCAAGGCTATAATCCCACTGCAAGTAAGTCCTGGTGCTGCGTTGAAGTCAAGAAGACAAAGGGTCAAACTCACATCACACTGAAATGGCTTCTCTCCGGTGTGGGTTCTCATGTGCTCATCTAGGCCACGCTTCTGACTGAAAGCCTTATTACACTCTGAACACTGGTACGGCTTTTCCTGTATGAAATGACAACAGTGAGTGAAAATGAGTGAAAGTGAGTAAACGCAGAGCCCAAGTCATTAAAGGAGTGAAATTCCATCCTGGATGGTGCAAGTTTTATGTTCTCTCTAAGGGATTACAGACAGTGAAAACAACAGAAAAACTACTTTCAAATGATGAAGGTAAAGCTGGGAAAGCCGTGGCCTGACAGTTTCCACTTTAACACCCACTTAAGAATTAATTATCTGTTCTAGTCTTTCAAAACCAGCCATTTTGGGAATCTGTTTTTTGTAATGTGAAAGGTACAGACACATAAAATTCCGAGGTACTTTCCTTTATCTTCCACAAAAGCTTAAAGCATAAAGACAAGTAAGATAACTATAAAAACCTCAGGTTTGTTAGTGTGTTTCCAAACAGGGGAAGAGGTGAGGAGAGGAAGAAGGGATACAAGGAAACCATGTGGTAGAGAAAAAAGTTTATTTGAAAAGTGGTGACAGAAGGTTGATCACATATTCATTGGAGGTTCTCAAAAGAAGAGCAGATGGCAACCAAGCCATCTGTATTTTTATTAGAACTATTGGTTAGCAGCTACTGTAATACATGATGTTATAAAAGTTGCAAGCTCAGTAGCCTCAAATAGATGTATGTACGGAAAACCATTTCTATAAAGCTTTTCTTCTGTAAAGTTCTTCCTTAATATAGAAAATTACATAAGGTATAATGCCTCATTTATTCCACTAAAGTGATAAAAGAACTGTATGGAAAACAGTATTTAAATGAATCAGTTAAATGTAAAAGTTATTATTATGGCACTGCACATTGCCTCATTAAAATGTTGATGCTCTAGAGGCACCTTTATTTTTGAATCAATCACACTTCTTTCATTCTTTTTTTTTTCCTGTGGCCTCTAATTCTGTATTGCTTAAGTTCTAAAGATGGGTATTTTAGGCAATGATGTAATTCTTCAGTAAAATTTTGAATTTTACTAAATTCAGTTGAAACCAAGACTGAAAATCAATAAGCAACAAAAATGCCAAGTCTATGAATTAACAAGTAATAGGCAGCAATCTTAATGGTCCTTTGGGAGATAACGCGGAATCCAAGGATAAGTGAGAAAGAACAACTCAGCTTAGGGGATGAAGCTACAAAGTGAAAAAATTCTCTGGTTATTAATTACTGTTCTCAGCTTGTAGGGGAAAATCAGGTCTCCATATCTTGCCGAATCCTGCCAGGTACTCTGTAGCATAAACTGTACACATAATACAATGGACTACAAACCACTGTTGTTCTGGGTAAGTCCCAGGCTCTCTCTTTAGTAGGGTAGGTTTTTGCAGATCTAGAGATCGCAGTGCAGGTGAACACTGGGTTTTTCATTACGGAGTACCCTCCCGTTAGGTTTCCTAGAAAAGGCAGCGTCACAGACATAAACTTCTCATCTTCTAGTAGCAGGAGTCCTCGAGCTCACTGAAACCACGTCCTAAGTAGCGTACACAGGAAAAAGCATTTCTCCAGCAGTTTCAGTTTCAGACATGAGTAAATCATGAGACAAATTAAGTACATTTCAGCATGATGCAAGACGAATTTTTACACTGACAGAGGCTGAGTATACGGTGCCCAGCTGCATATAATCAAACTGGCCTAAAGGGAAGCCGCTAATGAGCTTTTCTGTGCAAGATTCTCCCTACACATCCTTATCATCTTTGCGTTTTTTTCATCATTATCTTTTTGTAATTTCCATGATTCTTCAGTATGGAGTAAAACATAACAAATTACCTAAAGGATATCTGAGCTGATCTTAAAAAATCATCACCTAGACCAAAAAATTCATCTCAGGGAATTCTGCTAGACTGACTAAAGACATCATGGAGCAGGCTTGTAATTTTTAAGGAAATGTATGAATATGCAATAATGATATGTAAATATGTACAGCGGGTTTCTGCAACACCCCCCTTAATTGATTTTGCATTGTGGTTAACATAAACTGCATTTTCTGTGAGTTCTTTGAAAACATCCTTTCTCTGTGTACGTTGCTCCACAGAAAGCTCAAAGTACATGATGTGTGCATCTTCAACACCTATGAAAACATTCATTATTGCAAACTGTACCAGGTGTACTTGCTCCTTTTTATCATCTTGTTCTTCAGGTATTATTATGATTGATTATGATTATGTTACTGATTTCAGAGTGAAATGGACTTCAGGATTCTACTTTGGAGGAACAGCCATTCTAAACTCTCTAAAGCTGAAATCACAAACCTGGGCTGTAATATCTTCCCCCCAGTTATGTTTGCCTGTTTTTATTATTCCCTATGGCCAAAAAGGGTGTATCTAGCCATCTCCTTGGCGTTTGTATTCAAATTCACATATGTTGTGCCGGAAACACATCCAAAGCTGTCTTTGATCTAATTTTATATTCCTTACATCTGTATATTCCAGTGACTTCAGCAGACACAATTCTGATTCACATTAGCTGCCTCTCCCCTAAGCTAAGCTACCCTTCATTCACATCTGTGTCCATTTCAGTAAAATCAGTAGTGTTGTCCAGAGCAAAACCTGGCCTTACCTCTCTCTCCAGAGAAAGACTTATTTGTCAGTTTTGAAGAAGACATCATTCTCAGAGACTAATTTCTTCAAAACAAAACATTCTGTGTTTTTCCTTTCCCCTCTCTCGCTTCTTGCCCTCATAACAAATTTCCATTGCACAATACTTGGAGAAGGCAACATTTGTAAATGGGAAAGATGATGTTGGCTTGGCATAAGCATCACTGCTCTAAATGCAAACAGAAAACAAACCCCAAATAGATAAAACCCACAGCAGTAAGTCTGACAGAAAGTTAACGCCACCACAGAAGGACAACAGGGACCAGTGATAAGGTTAGAAGAAAGCTGGACAAATTTAAAAAATCAAGCAAAGGGAAAAACCTGCTAAGAGTCAACAATTAGGTCACTGGGAAGACCATTTAAGTTTGACCTCAAAGGAGTTAGCAACTGCTAGTACTATAAATCTACCTTCTGTTCAAAAAGCATCTGCAAGGCCACAACTATGGTGGCAGCAAAGCCAAAGGATGACATGTTTTCTTTTATTGATGACATAAATGAGGAAGGGAGCAGAAAGAGTGAGGAAGGCAGGATGTAGCTGATACTGCAGTGGTTTAATATTACATTTTAAAGCATATCAGATATAAATAAGAAATATGTAGATCAGGATTTTTAACAGTCCTGCTTCTTAAAAAAAAAAAAAGCCAAGGAGAACCCAAATGGGACTTAGTATTCTGCAAGGTGCTTTGCCATAAGGTTGGTACACTAACTTAGAAGCTCCCATCTCTGACGATTTTCACTTCACTGTGTTAAAACTGAGAGAAATTCAACATTTTAACAAATATGACAAATAAAACAGCGTCTGGAATACACGGCGTCTGCAATACATCTGTTTGTGGATAGCTGAATCATAAATGACTATGCATATTGTGCTTTGCATTAGGAAGACATCAGAACACAACATATTCTCAAGGCCATTTGACAGCACCTTTAACAAATTGATAGAACGTGTACAGAGTATCCTGCAATCACAGCAGATGGAAATACTTATATCCAGAATATCTGAACTGCTAACTGTTGCTGTAGTTGACCATATCTCACTTAAGAAAATATAAACGCATTATGTATATTAGCTTAGCACTACTGCATGTGTTTTTTTCTGCATACCTGGTAAAATTGATTACACAGGTAAAACATGAATTACTTTGGTAGGAGTATCTCCAAATAACCTTTTAATTCTGAATTTAGAACTATTATGTAAGCTGAACAGCAAGAGCAAGAAAAACATTAGCTACTACTATAATCAAAGAAATCACTGCTCAAGATTCAAATAAATGCGAGTTAATAACAGTTGTAGTAACTCTTTCCAAGGTGGCAGGAGCAAATTAAAACTGGGCTGAACCTACACTCAAGAGAACTTATTCTTTACTATTTTTTTTTTTAGATTAATTATTGATTTCCTACAGTGATTGCAGACTTAAACTACTCAGAAAGTCAATTTCTTGACTGCACAAATGTTAATCAATAAACCTTTTTAACACTTGGGTTTTAACTGACATACAAAGTACAGTTAAAATCACAAAGCTCTGATCGAAACTCTCTTAAGATCATTTTTTTTATCCTACTGAATTCAGCAGATTTAATTCTGATATACTTGAGAATTTCACATATTGCACATTTGTACTTTTAGATCATGTTCATACATCTAAGCACACACCTAATTAGAACTGCTAGCATCTTGGGGTAAGACATACTGATCATGTTACGTTTCACATGACCATCAACTTGCTGTATCTGCATTTTCTGTATGCTGAAAACAGAACATTAAAAGAAGTTCAGAAAAACATGGAAAAGTACATTGAATCATATATTAGTTGTAAACATATACACTTGTGATAGAAGTGTGAAAATTGCCAGGCATGAGGTGATGACACAGGAGAGAAAAGATAAATAAATTTATTTTTATTTTTTTTTCCTCTGGAGACATACATTGATCTGTTTAACAAGACAAATCTGGAGACAAACATGATACATTTGGGGAAAAAAAATAAAATAGTAAGGCCCAGTACATACATGAAGATACCTGGTAAAACCTGAATAAGCCTGAAAAGGTCTCAACCTAAACTCCTTGGAAAACAGTAGGTATGGAACTTTTCTTGGGTGAGATTTATTCTCACAACAGGAAACACAGAGCTCAAGAAAAATACCAGCCTGTATTTTTGATAGCAAAATATTTTAAAATACATAGCTCATCCTTTAGCTTAATTTTCTTTCTTCTTGTTTTAATTTCTTTCATTATTCTAAAACAAAGAGCTTTTCTTTGCTCCCAAACAGAAAGTCTTACAATGCCTTGTACATGAGATGCAGGTACAATAACATCTGTTTTCAAACCTTACGTGGGCAATTTGAAAATATCTGTATTACTCTTAACGAGTATCATCACATGTATTTGCATTATCGCTTGAACACAGGGTAAGAAC